CCCGCAGACAGCTGCATTAATCAGCCTGATTTAACCGTTAAACATGTGAGCATTAATTCACCCCCGTGATGCGAGGAGAAAACACTAAACATAACTGACCTCTGCGTTCCACCCAGTTATTTAGCTCTGTGTGGTGATTTGCTGGTTTTCTTCTCGCAGGCTGCACACAGCCCGCTGCGTTAAATCAGAGGCTGTAGGTTAAAAAGAAAAAAAAAGGTGATTTATTCCTGCAGCTGTGAGATGATGACTGTAGGTCTCGGCTCCAGATTGACCTGTTGTTCGTGGAGCTCTCTCTAGATTTCATTTGTGGATGATTATTTATTTCTCGGTGATGCTGAAATTGTCTTTAGATGTGAATTTAAATAGAGGAAATGTGAAGCTTGTGTTTCTCAGCTGAGCTACAGATTTTGGAGGTTTTTGCGCAAATGCATGTTTTTGTTTTTGTGGTAAAATAGTTGAAAGGTCATCTCGTTGGTATTAAATGCATAAAAAAGCAGGGAAATAATGCGTTGTACCATCTAGGTAACTTTGTCTAAAGGATATAAGTCGTAATGTAATGGTAAAGGTGTTCACAATAAACTTTTTTAATAGAATTGTTTATGATAAACAGGAGTTGTCATCTGTCTGTGTTGATTCATTGTGCTTTCAAACATGTTGTGTTCCTAAAAATGTAGTTTTTAAGCTTTGAATTCCCAATGCAGCTATAATTCCTTCAACCATGAGCCTAATGTGCAGCAGGAGTTTATTCCGTTTGATGATTTATCCATAAAATCAACCAAAATACAGATTTTAAAGTTATCATCAATTTCTTTTCTTTGTTTCTTGTTTCCCTTATCTTCACCCTTGTCTTTCCTTTCATACAGGCAGTGGTTCAAGTCTGAAGAAAGTGGCAGTTTAGCTTTGTTCTTTCCTAAAAAGGATCTGGAAAAGCAGGTTGGTTTTGACACCAGATCGTTTAAACGATTGCGACCTGCTGATGACGACGCTGAGCCACGTTCTGCCTTTTCTCTTTCAAGTACCGAGCCCTGGACCTGCCCATGTTCAAGCACTATGTGGGCTGTGCCACCTTCATCTTCTTCTGCATCTTTGTGGTCCAGATGTTTGTCACAAAGGAGTGAGTAGAACCAAAGATTCACTGTCATTCAGACGTCGTTTCACTCGTCATTCCAAACTGGGAAGCGGAGACGGTCTGTTTTCTCTGTGCTGACTCAAAACCATCTATAAAACAAAGTAACGAGGAGCTGTAGTCATGAAAGACTGATTTCGACTCTCTGGTTTTGTCCTCGTTCAGTCGACACAGGTTGGGCACCACATTCGGAGTGTTGGTTTGTGTGCTGCTGCTGACCCTGGCCATCTGCTTCGCAGGTCACTTGCAGGTCAGTATGTTGAGCCTTTTAGTTCGAGTTTCCCCTCAGACCTAGTTAGCATCTGGGTTTATAAAGAATGAAACAAAAGGAATCCTCACAGTAGATGGTGTAGAAAGGATTGAATATTTCCAGTGAACACATTCTGACGTCTTGTTTCACTCTGCATTACATGTGCACGACTCAAGCCTTTTAGCCTTACATGACATTGAATGAACCGAATTTATTTATTTATTTTGCATTAGAAAAAAAAAGGTCTTTACATTCTGCTTGTGGTAAGGCCAGATGGGATTATATTGTAATAATAAACGAAAACTGACCATGTCTGTAGCTGTTCTCTTACATTTTCTGGGCTTTAATATCTCAGAAGCAGAGCATATATATACATTTATATTTGGAGTCAACTCAATTAAAGATGGCTGCTACCCACAGATCTTAAAACACACACGTGATCCATGTTGCCAAAATGAGTCACACTGTAAAATTTTTCAAATGTTCAAATAATAATAATAATAATAATAATAATAATACATTTTATTTGAAGGTGCCTTTCATGGCWCTCAAGGACACCGTACAATGTAAATACAATGCAATAAAACAAAAGAATAAAGCATAGAATAAAATAACAATAAGACATCATAGTTTACATAATAATTAACAAATGAAAACAACGTATAAAACAAAACATCCTACAAAAAGTAGGGTTAATGGGAGGTGTTGATTAAACTGAATACGCCTGTTTAAAGAGAAGAGTTTTAATCTGTGGTTTAAAAATGGAGACGGTAGGAGAGTTTTTGTTTCAAAAACCTCAAAAWGATGTGGTTTGTTGACATTTGGYGATTTATCACCTGGCTTTAACACTAGTTTATTTTTGTTTTTTTGTTTTTTTTTACAAGAGTGCTGGTTTGAGAACTCAGTTTTGATTGGTCTGGAGTGATGTCATTGGAAATTCCAGCCTTATATTTAAAAAGTTCAATCATAAAGGATGCCAAATATTATTCAAAGGAAATCAAAAGGAATATTTTTGAAAACATATTTGTTAGAAAGCATTGATTTTTAAGTAGTTTAGAAGAATTCTGTGCTGTTTTAGTGACTGGGGTCACTAGATATTGTGTCAATAAACTCATTTATATGCAAATCTCARTTACAGCAACAATCAATAGTTTCGCTTTTTTGCTCTACAAGTGTTTGGATCTGACTTGTTTTGCCAACATGGGTCACAAATATGACTTTAACTTAGTCAGTGTAACTGATTTTAACCTAAAATTGGGGTATGGTAGTAGCTAAGACTGATCCCCAACACATACGTGCAAAATCTTTGTTTCATATTAAAGGTTTCAATATTTTAATTTTAGTTTAGTTTAAAGGAGTCTGTCTTCTGAACATTAAAACAAAAAAAGAGCAGATTTCCTTGATGGTAGTTATAATTGATTGTTTCTGTTTTTTACAATAGCACAAGTCTTCAAAAAAAACATGGAGGTGTGTTTTTTTTTTTTTCCCCCAGTTATTGAACAATGTAAAATGACACAGAACCCAAATGAAGGTTATACTGAGGGTGGAAGGTGCGAAAGGTCAAAACAGCTCTTTTAAATCCACCTCGCTTKACAAAGAAGCTGAAATGTGACCGTTTTGTCAGGCGGCTCAGAAAGAAGTCATCAGCGAGTCACTGACACGTGACGTCTGGAGATGTCTGGCTGAACAAAAAGTCACACGCTTCCTTTCACATGTTTGAATCCACCTTTTTTTTTTCCTTTCATCTTTTCCCATCTCGTTCCTCTTTCTCTCCTGTGCAGCGCGTGTTTCCAGATAAGCTGTCAAGGTGTCAGTGGCTGCCAGCTGTATCGGAGGCGGTGGTGAAACGGCCATGTGTGCGCCTCCCGCTGGCAACCATCACTATTGCCGTCATCATTGTCTTGGCACTGTTCAACCTGGTAAGCCTATTGTGTGTGTGTGTGTGTGTGTGTGTGTGTGTGTGTGTGTGTGTGTGTGTGCCCAGCCATCCAGTGGTTGCACATCAGTCAGTAATTTCTTTTCAACCCTCCGCAGTGCTTCGACACACACATTGGCGAGGATAATGATGACCTGTTCTATCTGCCTGTGAGTGCTGAGTTTACCTGGAGACCGTCACACACATTTGCCAAASGTGTCGATTGTGAATCTAACGTGGGATCTAATTCCCCGGTTCTCCCTCAGTACTCTGTATACTGCTGCATCCTGTCACTCATCGCCTGTGGAGCCTTCCTCCGCTTGAGCTTCGAGCTCAAAGTGCTCTTCCTCGTCGCGGCGTTCACCGCGTACTACGTCCTCATCCTCAACACCAAGGAAAATCTGTTTTTGAGCTACGGAAACTTCACTTACCTTCAGATTAGCTCCGCCTGTAACTGCAGCAGGTAGGGACGCAAAGCTAAAGGCCCACCTCTCCTGAGTTCAGGTGAGATTCGAGGTGAAAACTCTGTTCTTGTTTGTTCTGCTGTAGAGAGGATGAGCTGAAGAAAATCATCTGCTGCATCGGGTTGTTGAAACACCCCCAGATAATGAGCTGCATTTACATCGCCCTCTTCCTGGTCACGACGCTCATCATATCTCATCAGGTCTCTGCCGCTTTGCGTGTCGAGCACGTCCACATACCACCCCCGTCCCCCTCCGCCCTGACTTCCCTCTGTCTGCTCCTCAGAACGAGTACCGCTTCCGGCAGGACTTCCTGCTGAAGTACAAGAACCGCACGGAGCAGGACGAGATCGAGACGAGGGAGAACCTGAACCGCCTGCTGCTGGAGAACGTGCTGCCCGCTCATGTGGCCACGCTGTTTGTCGGGGAAAATAAGAAGAACGAGGTGAGACCTCCAAAAGCCAAACCATCTGGTTGCTAATTTTAAAAAAAACTGAGCTGGAGGATTTTAATAAAAATAAAATGAAAAAGCACTTTTTTAAAGATGTAAACAACACATTTTTACGAGCTGTGAATGGGTTGGTGCTGGAGTCAGTTCAGTTTAATTTCTCACAATAAAAAGGAAGCAGTTTATCTTTTTCTAAATTAATATCCAGGGATAATTCCTTACAGCACGTTTAAGTGCTTTCAAGATGTCTTGGTAATGTTTTCCTGTCTGCTTTAGAATAAATTACAGTCACTCGAATGTCGGCAGTTCAAAACACAACACTGTAGCCATTAACAGTGTCAGCTCATGGGGATATCAGGTTATCACTGTAATGTTGTGATAGTATAGATTTACACAAAACATTCTGGACATGTGCCAAAACTCACGTCTTCTTAAAAGTAGTCTGAGCTGATGCTGTCTCAGAGGTATAAAATGACTTATATCAGTCATCACAAGCTATAATTCAACAAAATGAGTTTGAATCATTAGTAGGAGTTAAATGACAAAGGATGAAGCTAAACAGTCCTTCTCCGTGTGTGTGTGTGTTTTTTTGTCTCAACAGGACCTCTACTACAAGTCCTATGACTGTGTGTGTGTGATGTTTGCCTCAGTGCCAGATTTCAAAGAATTTTACACCGAGTGTGATATTAATAAGGAAGGCCTGGAATGCCTGAGGCTGCTCAATGAGATCATCGCCGACTTTGACGAGGTTAGGAGGCGTAAAAGTTCGAAAGGGATTCATCCCACCSTTCAGAACCAAACGCTTCTCTGAGCCACAGAGAAAATGCTCCCTATGAGGACTGTGGCTGGGTTTAAAGGGATCCCCGATTAGTTGTAACATTCGATTTTATTTGATAAACATATGTTTATCAAATAAAGTCTGTAAAAATACTGTAGGCTGTTTAGTTTTGTAAATTCTTAAAAATATATTTTAACACGAACAGAGCCATTTTATTTACACACAAAGCATTCTGGGTAAATGATGACGTGGATAGGTCCTCGGTGTGAGCGAGCTATATCCACCCTGAAGGTTAATCTTGGACAATATCTGATGATCGACTCTTTTAAATGAAACCAGAGAGCGTTGACAGAGAGGAGAAGGTAGAAATGACTCAGCCTGGAACTGAAAATATAGATGGAGGACAACAGAGCTGCTTCATGGAAGAAGAACCTCAGCTTAGCCTGTTAGCCTTTGCGCTAGCGCTGACACTAATACGTATTAGCTCGGTGCTAGCATGACAAACAAGCTAAACTGAGGTCCTCCATCCATATTTTCAGTTACAGGCTGAGTCATTTCTACCTTCTCCTCTCTGTCAACGCTCTCTGGTTTCATTTAAAAGAGTCGATCATCAGATATTGTCCAAGATTAACCTTCAGGGTGGATATAGCTMGMTMRCATCAAGGACCTATCCACGTCATCATTTACCCAGAATGCTTTGCATGTAAATAAAATGGCCCCGTCCATGTAATATATTTTTAAACTTTTAGTTTAAAAATGATAAAAACTGAACATCCTACAGTTTTTTTACAGTCTTTATTTTACAGTTAAAATATATGTTTATTAAATAATGCCCAATGTTACAACTAATCATGGATCCCTTTAAAGCCTGCAAGGGTAAATAATAGAAATGATTAAGCGTTTTTTTTTTCTTTCCCCTGATCCTAACAGCTGCTGTCCAAACCAAAGTTCAGTGGTGTGGAGAAGATCAAGACAATTGGCAGCACTTACATGGCATCTGCAGGGCTTAGTGGGCTGCCCGGTCAGGAGAACAATCAGGTGGGCAGGCAGAGCAGGGTAAGGCCGAGGTCACTCTGGCTCTTTCAAAGACTAACCTAACCACACATGAACTCTGAAACAAAAACCAGCCTCTGTGTTGACTCTGGACGTGCCTCTGTGGGTTTTCAGGACAAAGACAGGCAGCAGGCTCAGATAGGAATCATAGTGGAATTCGCCATCGCCATGATGGGCAAGTTGGACGGCATCAACAGACACTCCTTCAACAGCTTCAGGCTGAGAGTGGGTGAGTGTTTGGCAGCTGCAGCATAAACCTTTCACCTCACAAACTGCACTGGAATACATCTCTGTTGAGACCGGCACCATGACCCCGAGGGTTCCCTGAACACGATTGGTTCTTATAGAGCTTTTAACGTCTGAGTGGTACCATTCACTGATACCAAGTTATGAAGCTGTCGCCCTTATGTAAGCCTCAGCAGCTTCACTGTGATGGATCTAAAGTCCTACAGCCTCACAGGATTGAGTCTACGAGAGAAACAGCAGAGAGCCATTTCAGACACACAGACTAAAGAGGACATCATATAAATCATCACATAAATATCACAGAGTGGTTCTGTTAAAAGGTTTCCACATTGGATTCTTCTTAGATTTCATCACACACACACACAGGTTGGTTTTTCTATCCTCATGGGGACCTTGCATTGACTTCCAGTCATTTCTATACCCTAAACCTAAACCTGCCCCAGTACACACCTGACTTGAAATCTAGCCTTTAACTCAATTCATGCCTTAATCTTAAACCCCCCACTCACAAATTGAGTTCCATCATTTTAGGACCAGTCTTTGGTCCCCATAAAAAGGCCCTGTCACACTTAGATATTTTTACTCAACTTGTGAAAATTTTAGCTGATTTAAAGATGTCTACACTGCAGATGGAATAAAAAAAATTAAATGAAAGCCTCTTTTGGATGTGTGCTTACTGCAAACAGATTTGGTTTTCTTACTTTCTTTTAGCTCAGTTTAGAATCTTTATTTTCAATAAAATGGACACTTAAAAAAACTTTACCATTTCTCTTACTTATAGGTTACAGATGATTTTTTTGTGGCTTTTTTCGCCCCATGCAGGAATTAACTATGGTCCAGTGATAGCTGGTGTGATCGGGGCCAGGAAACCCCAGTACGACATCTGGGGCAACACGGTGAATGTAGCCAGTAGGATGGAGAGCACCGGAGAGCTGGGAAAGATCCAGGTATATTCAACACATAACTTTGACCCTAAATTTGATTTTCAGTATTCATGTCAACAGCCACAGGACAGTGTTCTGTTTCAATTTTTAAGCAACAGAAAAAGATTTCGCCACGTTACTCTGTCCCTTTTTTGCAGCTTTTCCACTCTACACAAACTACTTCACTATTAATACAACAGCTCTCAACCTGTAATAAAACCACTCCGTCTCTTTGCCGTTTAGGTAACAGAGGAGACCTCCGCGGTGCTGAACCGGCTGGGTTACTCCTGTGAGTGTCGAGGACTCATCAACGTGAAGGGGAAAGGGGAGCTAAAGACCTTCTTTGTGTGCACTGACACRAGCAAGCAGCAAGGCATGAGCCTGAGCTGAGGCCCGGACTGAGCTGAACGCAGACTCTCGTACACGAGTTTACAGACTCCTTCACATCACAGACAGGAACACTGTGGTGTTACTGAGAGAAGAAAAAAAAAGATTTGGATGAACTGCTTTTTCGATCGTGTGCTGGATTTCACCGAAGGAGACCGGGAGAAAACAGTTGGTACAATCAGCATCTTTTTTTTAAATTCACAAACATGTCTTGTGATCTGTTACTTTTGTACTTTTTGTCTCCATCTTAATGTGATAAAAAAAAACATGTATTGGAATAATGCCAAGTTAGATTATTCTTGAACACATTTTTTGCTCTTGATTTTCGCAAAACAGTAATTTATTCTAAATTTGATCAGAATGAATTTGGTTGAATTGGATGGTTTATTAGAACTTGTGTGCCGAGAGGACTTTTGTTGTGAAATTTGCACTCTGAACACATTGAAGGAAAGAAAATGTTCTGGAAACTTCTTTTTCCCCCACTTAAAAACAGGATCTACTGATGCAACCCTTTTTTTTTAGTAAGATTAAAATTCCTAAAACCCTCATAGCTTTAGGTTCAGGTGGAATAACCTTACTCACATTATTTTAATTAAGGTCCAGCTGTGCATTTTAGCCATAATAACCATTTAAACCTGAACTAATAAATGACAAAAACACACATTGTGTTTCATTAGGACAAGTTTTAAAACAGTTTGTAATCCATCGGTTTGGTTCATTCTGCTCACGTATTGAAAAACAAATCTCTGGTATTTTTTGCTTCTCGTTTCCATCCACGCTGCGATGGTGGAAGTCTGATGCATGTCCTCCGTCTGTGTGATCCAACAACCTGCCTGCTGTGGATGGGTTTATTATCACCTGAACACCCTCAGTGCTTCTGAAACTCTGTCTTGTGGCCTTATTCGTCCGACACAAACATCTCGTCTGTAATTACGATTACATAATAGCATACTGGCAATTTTGTGAACAACTGTGACGTTGACTTTTTGTACAGATACAGAATGTAATAAATGTTTTCTTAAGTCTGCAGTTTGTCATGCACGGTTACACAACAACCAAGGTTTTATTAAAAAAAAAAAGTTTATTGATTAACACAAAAAACACTTTTTTTACAAAATTTAAGTTATTACATTGAATGTGGATGGTTGAAGATTATTTCACAGTGACCAGTGGAACATCTGAGCAGGTTGGTAAAATCTCCATCGATTCACTCGTCTCCATCACTACAAACAAACAAAAAAACATTGAATTGCCTGAATTCTGTGATTTACAGGCAAATTTAGAATTTTTCCTCCATGAAGCCTCACTGAGGTTAACATGGAGCGCAGCTGTGAGGAGACGCACCTGTAGTGAGGTCTATGAGGGGCTCCGGTAACTCCTCTGGAGGGACAGCAACACCCATAGCCTTCCTGATGCTGTGGATGCTGCTGACGTCACGTGGGGCCACTTGACCAGTCAGCTGGGTCAGGTTTCCTGTCACCTTCTCAGCTGTACAGGTGGAACGTACAGAAACAATACAGCAGGAGATTAGAGCATGGAGCTTATATAAAAATAAAAAAACAGGAGGGGACTAGTCATGAGTTAAAGAGCCTTTTGTCTATTTTTACAGCAAATAAAACCTACAGCCAAAGCCTTTAGCTGTGAGACTACACAAACAAGTCTCCCCCCTAAATTACAAAAACATGGCGTTTATTATATAAAATTTATTAAATCACTCTCATATACGTGGGAAAAAGGAGATTCGGTGATTTGAATCTGATCCATGTCTAACTGCAAATTCTTGTCTAAAGCCGGATGAACCCCACCCCCAATCTGTGTAAGATGAATACTGCAGGAGGTAAATGAAGGCCTGTTACAGCTGGACTGAGCAGAGGAACAAAGGCGGTCCTTACCCAGCTCCAGCTCCTTGGCAGTGGGAGCCAGAAGGCAGATCATGTTAGGAGGCTGCTTGGCACTCAGACGCTCCCTCTGAGCTTCCTGCAAGTCGCGCAGCAGCTTTGTAGTCTCGTCCAGTTTCTGCTGGAAGTGGAGCGCCTCTGAAACAGATCAGGGTGGGAGGACACAAACGCACACACAGTTATCGCTTCCTCCGAGGTCGTCCCATTACATTAGGGTAACCCCCCCCTGCCGACATAGTGCTTCCATTCTTCCTGAATACAAACCATCAGAGTCAGTCCCACAAAGAGGGATCAACATGACGAGCTCATTGCACATTTTATAGCTTTAAACGATTCATTTTCCTATAATTGTGTATTTTTTTTTACTAACTTTTATCTACAAGACAATATTTTGTTTGCAGTGGTGGGCACAGTTTCACCAACGGTGGAACTAACTTCTCATTTAGTGGATTGGAGGTTTATTTATTTTTTTGCTACCTTTAAAAAACTTAGAGGACCGATTAGCTTCTGCTAAAGTATCTTCCACTAAAAAGACCATTTCATAGATACGACTTGTCACAAATGCATGAAGCGAGCAAACCTCAAACTTGGAAAACTTTCCTTCAGGATCATAGGTGAGATTTTTCACAAATATTTAAGCTATAAATCTGCTTTTTGAGCTTGTTGAATTTGCACAATTCCAAAGGAGTTTTCCTAGCATCCTCAGATTTTTATCAGTTGATCTGTGACCCAGAAGAGCTAGGTTCAAAAAACTACAAAATGGTCCATTAGCTTCCACTAAATTAGCTTCCACTAAATTAGCTTCCACTAAATTAGCTTCCACTAAATTAGCTTCCACTATATTAGCTTCTAAATTAAAACTATTCTTACAAGCTGTGCTGAACGTGTCAGGGCACAGAGAGTGTAGCATGTAGCATCTTTAGCAGCTAAACTTCAAACTAAGAGTGTGGAAGAAATTAAAGAACAGTTAATATTAATTAAATAAATACAAAAACTGACTACATATAAAATATGATAGGGAAAGTATTTGCTATTTGTTGTTTGACTAACTTCCAACTGTATTTATAAAATTACAAAAGTTTATCAAAATGCTTTTACTTTGAAACAGATGAACTGGAATTATCATAAGTTAGACAGAGCCATGATTTGAGAATGATCCTACCCACCTTCAAATTAAACCAATAGAAAACTTCAACTGGAAGGAGATGAAGACGTGTGACACGGGCTGAGTGACATATGACTTAGCGGTTAGCGTTAGCTTCCACTAATTTTTTTTTATCTAACAGTTTAGCATAAGCAGAGCTAAGATTCTTGTTTAGTGGATTAGAGGTTTTGTTTAGCTGTGTCCAACACTTTTTATTCCATTTAGGCCAATTAAACATTTAAAACTGGATGCAGTGTTGGCTGTATAAATATTTTCCCAACTTTTTTTTTTGAAAGAGATAAATGTGTAGTCCTTTATGAAGGATTGCTTTGTCTGAGGGAGCTGGAAGAAGTCTTTAAAAACACTTCAAGAGTTCATTAAAATGCAGTTAATCCCAGCTATAAAAGTAAAACAAAGGTCATTACCCCCAGAGAGCTCCTCCTCCGTCTCCAGGCCCGCAGCAGAGCGCAGGAAGTCCAGCTTGGTGGACGAGTCGGGCTCCGGTACCTACGAGAGGCGGAGGGGAAACAAGATGCTGGGTCAGATTAGAAAAAGGCATTCCAGCCCGGACAGCTGACGTGCCAAAGGGGGGAACATCAAGGCCTCCTGAAGCCTCTTTTTTGTGTCATGCTGCCCTCTCTGCTCCAATAAAACTCAAAACCGAATGAAAAGCTGCATCAGCCGAGCGGGGGATGAGTGTAAACTGGAGCACGGCCAGGAACAGCAAACAGCCAGCACAGAGGGTCACTGTGTGTTTGGCTCCAGGGGGGCCGGTCCTTTGGTTTCCTCCGCTGCCGTTAGGAGCGATTCAGCTCTGCAGCCGGCCAGCGATGAAGGGAAACACAGTTCCCTCCAAACGCTCCCGACTGCGGACCGCGAGAGAGCGGCCTTTATGTCTGGTGGAGGGAAACGTTCTTTCCATGTGAGGCTGGATCCCAGCTGACGGCGGGGTCCCTGCTGTGTTGACACAGCTGGCTGAAGCAGGAACCATCAGCAGAGGCCGTAAAGAGCACAAATTAAAGGAAGGAGCCTCCTGCAGGGCGTTAGAGCGAGCGCACATGACGAGCGGCAGCGCAGCAGGACGAGTGGCTACACACACGGCGTTCTGCGCTTGTGTCCATGTTTGTTCTTACACGGTTGGGTGAGCTTCAGTGATCAACAGAGGCCTTTAACTGCAGAGAGTAAAAGGAGGAGTTTATCAGTCTCTCACCTCCAGGTCACYCTTGTCCTCCTGTGTGTTTGTGGTCTCCTCTGGCTGCTGGATGGATTTAAAAAGGAAAAAGCAAAAAACACAAATTAGTGAATGAATCATTTAATGTTGTGGTATTAGAATCAGGAGTAAAAAGCTCTGGATGGCTCATTACCAGCTCAGCCTCCTTCAGGGCTCTTGAATGCTCTCCGTTGGTCATAGCGTCCAGAAGATTGTCTGCCAGCTTGTACACGTACTCATCTGATTTGGCCAGGAAGTCAGACAAGCTGCCACACACACACACAACCATAACACAACTTTATTTTTACTCTAGTGTTTTATTTTTTCACTTCGCTGACTAAAATTAATAAGCTGTTGATTTTAACTGCAGTAAAACTTCCTGGAGAAATTTGGGACTTTCTATTTGCACAGAGGGACTGAGACAGCAGGAACCATCAATAATAAACCTTTAAAATATAATATATGAAGACGAACAAGATTCATCAAGTGATCATCATCACATAGATACATTTTAGATACAATTAAGCTAAATTACAGCACTCAGTACACTAAATCCCTTATTCAGCTTTTCAGGTTTTCACCCACATACAGGAGGAGATTTGATTCATTTGTTTTTCCTTGTTCTTTAAATGATCTTTTATTAATATCACCTGCTGCTGACTGTAAAGAGGATTAACTAACCCATACTTTTCATGGGTTCTGTAAAACACATACAGAAACAACCAAACATTTGTTTTAAGTGTGTTGAAGTTCAGCGGTTATGGAGATTATTACACAACGTTTTGTCTTCCAAAACCAGAAATATTTTTTTTTCTCCTTTCAAAATATTCAGTTTGGTGTATTTCTTGAGGATAATAATGTGGAGTTTCTAGTCACTAATCAAATCAAACTTTGAATAAAGCAGTTAAAGACAAAAGAATGGATAATTAAAAACAAAGTGTTTCAGGCAGCTCATTCCTTCTCCATGGAGTTGAACCAGTTTTGGCGTGTGGCTCTGTACAGCTGACGTGTCACTGTAACATGTTTCTGTGTGTAAATCTGTACCTGTCTGACCCCTGCAGACTGGACTCCTCTCCGTAGACGGAGAAGATGAGGTCAGAGTTCTCCTTGCTGATGTTGGCGAAACTCGAGTCGAAGGTGGGCGCGTAGGACGTGAACGGCCCGTAGTTTAAATAGGACACTGTGGGGAGGCGGGTGAACACAGGAAGGCTTATTAACTGATACTTAAACTGCTGATACAGGAGAGAGAGACCAGCTCAGGACCTGGAGTCATCCTGTTCCTCTTGTCCTCCCTGAAGTTCTGCAGAGCGTTCACACCGTTCTGCAGCCGGTTGGACATCATGCCCAGCTTCACCGGACAGTAGCCCACATCTGGAAGAACATAAGAGCTTATTTCTTCAACTCTCTCAACCCCCTGCTTGTATTTAAACACTCAGATATGTTCATAAGATCTGAAAAGCCTGATGAGAATCAGAATAATTTCTTAGAGAGCGACTTTACGTCGCGTTCGCAAATGCAACCGTTTTAAAGATTAATGCAGATTTTACACACGAGGCGGGCTGAGAAAATCCTTTATTTCCAAAAGCTGGAAGCTGAGCGGTCATAAAATCTGGTTTAAAAAGAGCCCAATCAAAAATCCACTCAGGCTTTTAGAAAACATGAATGATAAGAAGTCATTTTTAATTACCGAGACAGAATCAACAGCCTCTTTTCACAAAACAGCTCAGTCCAGGGCTGAGACCTGTTCTGTCCAAGAAACACTGATGACATCAGTGAGCGACCGCCCCGCTCGCAGCATTAAACATCAACAAACACGTTTATTACCGAGGGAATATTGAGGAGGATGCAGCACAGCTACGATGCAGGTAGTTTAAAAAAAAATCAACTACAAAGAGGATCGCTACAGTATGTTACCTCTCAATAAATGTGTCGCTGTCTAACTGAGTGTATCCAGGTGAGGGGGAACTGTCTGGCTTCACCTGTGATACAGCGGGTAAAATAAGTATTGAACACCTCACCATTTTTCTCAGTAAATATATTACTAGAGGTGCTAATGACATGAAATTTTCACCAGATGTCGGTAACAACCCAAGTGATCCATACATACAAAGAAATCAAACCATAAATGTCCAGAAATGAAGTTATTTGTAATAATGTGGAATGGCACAGGGAAAAAGTATTGAACACATGAAGAAAGGGAGGTGTAAAAAAGGCATGGAAAGCCAAGACACCAGCTGAACTCTCTCAGTAATTAGAAAGCAAGCCTGCCCCTTGTCAGTGCAAGTTAATATCAGCTGGTTCAGTCCCAAATGATGGCCAGGTATCACACAAGAACCATCTGATGATGGGTAAAAGTAAAGAGCTCTCTCAAGACCTTCACAACCTTATTGTTGCAAAGCATAATGATGGCATCGGTTACAGAAGAATGTCTAAACTTCTGAAGGTTCCAGTGAGCACTGTTGGGRCCATAATTCAGAAGTGGAAAGAACATCATTTCACCATAAACTGACCACGACCAGGTGSTCCTCATAAGATTTCTGACAGAGGAGTGAAAWGAATTATCAGAAGAGTTGTCCAAGAGCCAAGGACCACTTGTGGAGAGCTTCAGAAAGACCTGGAATTAGCAGGTACGATTGTTTCAAAGAAAACAATAAGTAATGCACTGAACCACCATGGCCTGTATGCACGCTCACCACGCAAGACTCCACTGCTGAAGAAACAGCATGTTGAAGCTCCTTTAAAGTTTGCTGCACAACATTTAGACAAGCCTGTGTAATACTGGGAGAATATAGTCTGGTCAGATGAGACCAACATTGAACTGTTTGGATGCCAGAATACACATCATGTTTGGAGGTCAAATGGCACTGCACATCAGCCCAAAAACACCATACCAACAGTGAAGTTTGTAGGTGGGAACATCATGGTGTGGGGCTGTTTTTCAGCATATGGTACTGGCAAACTTCAAATAATTGAAGGAAGGATGAGTGGAAAAATGTACAGAGACATTCTTGATAAAAATCTGCTTCCATCTACCAGGATGATGAAGATGAAACGTGGCTGGACATTTCAGCAAGACAATGAGCCCAAACACAAAGCCAAGGAAACTCTCAGTTGGTTTCAGAGAAAGAAACTAAAGCTGCTGGAATGGACCAGCCAATCACCTGACCTGAATCCAACAGAAAATCTATGGAAAGAACTAAAGATCAGAGTTCATAGAAGAGGTCCACGAAACCTTCAAGATTTGAAGACTGTTTGTGGAAGAATGGGCCAAAATCACACCTGAGCAATGCATGCCACTAGATTCTCCATACAGGAGGCGTCTTGAAGCTGTCATTGACAACAAAGACTTTTGTACAAAGTATTAGATAAATTTCAGTAAGTGTGTTCAATTCTTTTTCCCTGTGCCATTCCACATTATTACAAATAACTTCATTTCTGGACATTTATGGTTTGATTTCTTTGTATGAATGGATCACTTGGGTTGTTACCGACATCTGGTGAAAATTTCATGTCATTAGCACCTCTAGTAATATATTTACTGAGAAAAATGGTGACGTGTTCAATACTTATTTTACCCGCTGGATATGAAGGACCTGAGGGAGCTTAAAGATGAACTGGTGTGTGAGGCCAGTTCACAGAGCTGTCTCATGAATGAGGCTAATGAAAAAGCGATGGTTATAAGCTGGAAGGACCTACCCCCCGGTGAGGGATCAGCTGGGTTGAGGATAGCCAGAGTGGTGGAGCCATCAGACTTCTGCCTCACAAACTCCAACTAAAAGAGAAAAACATTGTCAATAATTAAAAACCCAGTGTCAGAATGTCATCCAGTATGTGTCAACCATGAAAACTGGTTAAAAACAAGAGCATTCTCATTAAGCTAAAACAGTCATTTTAAACGACTCAGGTCCTCTGGTTATTTGTTTCAAAGCAGATCTTATTAGAAAAAGATAAATCTTTGTGTATTTTCCTGCTCTCACATCACACTGCAGCACTCTGTTAGACAGCTTTCCTCCAGAGTCCACGATGACCTTGCGGATTTCCTCTAGCTCTTTCTCAGCCTTTGCTGCTTCGTCCTTGATGTCTTTGTCCTGTCTGCAAAAGAAACAAATTAAAAAAAGGATGAGACAGTTTGACCATGAGAAACAATTGTTGATTCTACGGCAATATATAAAAAAAAAGAAAAAGCTGAAGAAAGGAAATCTAGATGAACGTCAACGATTGAACGCCTGCGTTTTCTCTTTGCATCAACTCGGAAATGTTTGTCAATATTGGATGTCATCGAGACTTTTGTTCCTCTGGAAACAAAAAGCTGAGTTCAACATTGGCGCAGCAACAAACTCTCATGTTGCTCCTGCGACAGTGAGCCCTTGTGTAACGAGTTCCTTCAGTCAACAGGTCGTGTTGACTCAGATGGAAACAAAACCGATGTAAAAGATGTACAGCCAGGAAAGTAAACAAGTCCCAGCTTGTTGTCGGGCATTCCTCACATTCTCAGCCTCCAGCTCCACAGTGGAAAACCAACCCTCTGAAGAGTCKGATTCAAAGGAAGCCACGCTGTGCTGCGGCCGAGCGGGTGCCTTCCACGGCACGCCACACGCTGTTTCTGAGGAGATTCACTTGTAGCACGGTGAAACCTGACAACACGTCACTCTGACACCAGCTGAGGTGGCCGTGAGAGGTCAGCTCTCACTTTAAGGCTTTTGCAGTCATGAAAACACAGCTGTGAGGACGGCTGGAATGTGTGACGCCTGCATGCTGGAGCACCTGGGCGTGCTGGGTGTCTGCGAGCGCTCGCTGCTCCCCGAGCTCGCTGCTCCCTCCTTGTTCTGGTCCAGGCTGCCGGCCACTTGTTCCTCTGACTTCAGAGGCTGTCTGGTGGAAGGATCGAGGCCCGACATGAAATCTATGCTCTGCTTCAGGCTGTCCAGCCGCTCCTATTGAAGAGACAGAACAGGGAAGAAAAGTAAACAAAGCGATGAGTAGAAAGAAAAGGACTTTTTGAACGCTGTGCTGCTCTCTGCTGCCCTCGTCTGTCGCAGTTCTGCAAAAGCAAGTCTTGTATGATTCAACCTCAGTAAGGTCTCTGTTTATTCTAATTAATCACTCACCACTGAAAGGTGAAGGATGTTTTTGTTCGTGTGTTTGTGTCTGTTAGCAAAATATCTCAGAAGCCAGTGGATGGATTTTAATAAAACTCTCAGAATGTAATCTCTGGATGTACGCCTCCAACTGATTCACTTTTGGAGCCAATCCAACTCAAGATGGCCGCCCCAGACAACTTACTTTCGAAAACACATAAACAACCATAACCTCAGCAACTGTACAGACACTGAAGTAGAATTTGATGTGGTAGTAGCTGAGAGTCTTAAGTCTCCCTGAAAAGAGGCAGGCGACATCTCAAGGAATGCTAGGCCTTTAATCTTCAATGCAATTACTAATCTGAAACACTAACATGGCTTTGTGTCAAACGTCACCATTAGGACAGCAGCAGTTTCAAAAACCTCAGGCGACTTGCGTCACCCTTGTCCTCTGAACATCATTTCATGTCTCAATATGGGAACGCCATCAGTCCAGCCCAGGGCGTTCCCACAGTGAGGCATGAAACCCTGGGTGAAGTGCAGCACGTTCCTCTGTCACATCCAGAAATGATGAAAACTATGTCGAAGTGTAAACGGAACAAATGTGACGGTGAGCCGTCACCAAGCCAACAATCTACTTTAAAAAGGTTTAATTACTTGACATGAGGACGTTTTGTGGCGCACAAAGCTTAGTGAAAACCAGCTKGGTGTGAATGCGTTTTCTTTTCAAGCTTCAAAGACTGAACTGTAATCACCTCTCACAGTTTGAAAATAAATATAACTCTATATGCAGCAAGAAAATCCTTCAGACTTTAAATATTTATATCCATTAATCTGTGAAGGGTTCTACAGCCACTGGCAGCAACTCGCCCATCTCAAAACTATGGCTCCACATTCCGGTCATAAAAACAAACATCTGTTTGGTTCACACAGAAACCAGTCGAGGCAGTCGAGTCCTGCAACAATGTGAACTCACACACAAGGCCCGTGTTGTGTAATTAGCAAACAGCAGCACTACTGGTAGGAGTGAAGCAACTGTTGGCTCACAGGCACAACACCTCTTCCTTCCATTTCAGTCATTTCACAAACGACACCCAAGCAGGAAGGAGGCGTCTCAGGATTATCGTGAGTTGAAAACATGCAGGGCAGTTGGCCTTTTAAACACAAACACCCCATAAAGCTGAACCTGTGCTCAGTCTCTGCAAGCATCAGAAAAAACAACAACATGAAGATTCCTTTTACCATCTGAGTCCGTCTGACAGCTGAAGATAGGGCCAAACTGGGTTATAAAGAAAAAAAAAAGATGCTAAGCACATCAGAAAAACTACAACAAAGCAACAGAAAATGAAGATGTTAAAAACGTCTGACGAGTGAAGTGTCTTGCCCAAGGACACGACACCTGAGACAGCTGGAACGGCAACCCTCCAGTTACAGGGCGACTCCCCCAACCACTCCGCCACAGAGATGTGAGATGTTGAAGATGAACCAGTGAAAGATGAGAGGTCAGCCTGACGTCTGAACTTTGATTCTCACTTTATAGAATTTGATGAAAGTTGAGCATCAACAAAGGTTTTCTTCCAAAAAGCTTTTGCATTTTGGCTTTGTTTGTTACATAAATCATGTGTAATTAGTCTGCTGCTGTAGGTTCTCTGTGCTCATAACCACAAACAAACATATAATCTAAACAAAGATAAAAACATGCTCAGCCTTGGTTTGATAAATCTGAATATTTCTGTGAGTGTGCACTTTCACATTTTTTTGTCAGTATGGAAAGCGGTGCACTGTTTCACAGGTGAGGCCTCTGGTCTGACTGAACAAGGTAAAACTGCTCAGAGGTTTTTATACCTGGCTCAGGATCTTCAACCCAGAATGTAAAAGTTTTCTAGCTGCTTTGTGGTAGATCGTTTCAGGTTTGTTGTAAATCATGGCATTCTGACACATGATCCTAAAATCCATCTGTATCAAAGACAAAAATTCAGCGTTAAACATACGAAAATAAGACAAAAACAGTAGCATCTGACATTTTTAACATTTTTAAATTGAAAAGAAATCAAGATAAATCTAACGCTTGGCCATTTTACAGCTTTTGAGTCATTATTTTCTTTGACATTAATGAAACATGAAACAACACTGCCTTCTAACCAGCAGCGTTGTGAAGCAGTCACGCATGTACCTTGAGTTCATCCAAAGACTGGTAGCATTCTTTCTTTACTTTCTCCTTCATTGAACTGAAGTCCATAGGGCGTCTGATGATTGAAGAATAACCAGGTGCAATGAGGTCTGTCACTGGAAACGTGAAGAACGCGTTGGGGTCTTTCCTACAAAAAAAAAAGTCTTTAGCTGCACCAAAATTACACACAAAAAAGCTACATTGGTTGATCCTTAAAATGCTCATTGAAGCACAGAAACATGCTGATATGCAACAATTAAAAAAGAGACATGTTTGTAATCAATACTGCACCTTTGAAGCTGCCTAATGAGCTGATTCAAAGCTTCCTGCAGAGGGCTCTGCTCTTTTTCAGCTGAGAACAGCAACAAAAGCATATTAGAGAATAAACATCGAGACAATAAATGCTGGGATTATTTAAGAATACCTTCTAGTTTATCCAGCTCTGAACGTATAGGGGTCCTGCAGGGATCTCTGTCGTTTTCTCCCTCTGCTACTTGCCCTTTTTTCTTCTTCGTCATCTAACATGCAACAAATAGTAAAAATGTCTCAGGTGAGACTAAAACAGTCGCTCCTGCCACCTGTAAAGTTAGAAAACGTGCGTCTTTAAATGACCCTCTTTACCTTCTTCTTCCCTCTTTCTTCCCCTGGTGATGAGAAGCTTCTTTCTTTGTCCTTTTTCTTTTTCTTCTTTTTCTCCTTGGTTTTGTCTCCGTCTGCCAGCTGGTCCTCGTAAAAAGTGTCTAAACTGGAGCTTCCTGTCGTCACTTCGTTCCCGGACACTTTTAACACCAGCTTCAGCGGCCGGTCTCCGTAATCTGTGAGCATCAAATGAGACATGAGCATTTAAATATCAGCTTACTGGCAGTCCGAGCTAATGCTAATCATTATCGTGACAGAACAATGACCGAAGAGATAATTCTACTTATTTTTTAAAGAAAAATCAAAAAGAGTGTAATAAACATAAAATGTTCAATTGTAGAAAACAAAATACCTTCATATCCATGTTTGTCGGACTTGTGTTTTTTGTGCTTCTTGCCCATTGTTTGTGTTGTGGTTTAGCCGCCCTGCTGCTAGCTAGGATGGGTTAGCGGAAGTAGCTCAGAAAGTCGACTTGTTACAGCGACGCCTAACGGTGAGGCGGTGACACTACAACAACAACAACCCGCCGCGGCGCTTTCAGCCAGGAGGGGGCAGTATAAGCTTTACTTTAACATTAAAAATACCTCAATCCTGGATCATGGCCAACAGTTAGACACGTGCTCTTACGCATTTAATTATATAATTAAAGGGGATCCCTGGCCCTAAATATAAATTAATGTACTTTTGTTATCAAACACAGAATCAAAAAGGAAATTTGGACTGGATTCCCATTTTAAATATTTTTAAGTATTCAAATCTGAATTATTTTAACAATAAATAAAAGAAAACAAAAAATGTGTATGAGAAAGTACTTGACCTCGTCTGATTTCAGCTCCAGTAGAGTGATCTGAATTCAAGACAACGTTTTGCTTTTTCATTGTAGAAACAGTCAGATTTTTTTTATGATAAAGGTCTTCTTATGGAAAAGCCAGAGTTTCCTGTCAGTTTAGCTGTCAACATCATTTTTTTCAAAGCTTTTTTATTGTTTTTTAACAAAAAACACAAACAAAAAACAAACTAACAGAAAAAAACACACCCCTAAAAAACCCTCCCATCCCTCCCCACCTATACCGGATCTGCTGACAAAACATAAATAGAAATACAACGTATATTCATGTATCTATAAGAAAAAAAAACACAGGTTTGTGTACAAAGAACCATTATTTGACCATTAGATAAAGTTATCTACTGAAGATTTTTCTACGTAAGATATAAATGGCTGCCAGATTTCAAAGAATTTGTTTACAGATCCCCTAACAGTATATCTAATCTTCTCTAAATGAATGTAAGACATAACTTCTCTTAACCAATGACCATATATGCTGTCAACATCATTTTGAGGATGATTCTGGCAGTGTAGTTTGCACTTGCGTCACGTTAGAATATGTGCAAGTGAAATAATAAATATCAAACATATGAGAATGATGTTCTCGTAGCCAAAAATGTCACAAACATTATGTCACGTACTGTCACATTAATCTGTATTTGTAAGGATTTCTAAACCAAACATGTAAAACAAAATCAGACATTAAAGACACGATCACTTTTAATGACTAAATGAAGTAAAACTGTAATATAAACTGTCATAACATTTATATTCTCTTCATTTATTTTTAGCTTTATTAACACACACCGTGTTACTATCGGTTAGCCACCAACGTTTCTGTAATGAAGATGATTTTTGCATTTGAATTTCAATATTTTACAAATATGAAGAAGTGACAAACAGGGAAAAAATACCTGTCAGCACATCATTGTGCATTGTCCTGAGATTTACCAGTTGTGCTAATACAGTAGACTCATTCAGACATTTTCTATCTTAAAAGCAGGAAACAGTTTGACAGCAGGCTAACGGAGTCCCAGCTGTCTAATGCAGACGTTTGGGTCCTGACAGATCTGTAGAATAGCTGTGAAATCGTCTTTGAGCAGCCTTCTCTCAACATCCTGAGCATCATATGGCTAACATACTTGCATCCCTGACCCTCTTTCTTCTTGAACGTGTCTGAATGAAGCAGCGTGAGCTCCAAAGGCAGACAGATGACACTTGCTTGGATTTGTACTCTTTGCAGGACTCTGTAGAGTCTGCCTTTCAGAGCTGTCATGCTCTGTTAAATCGGCACATACTGTACGGGCTGATGAATGACAGATGTTTTATTCATGGAGGAGAGATAGTGTACATTCTTTGAAGCACATTCCAGGTTTYATGAAGACTGCAAAGGATGGGGGCCGAAGGTTTGAAAAGGAAAGAAGATYGACTGAATTCASCCRTTTCAGCCATTCCTGCCTTCAGATGARAAGCTGATTCTGACAGTCTGTTGATGTTTGAGTTGCAAACTCATCCCCAGCAAATAATGTCCTGATTATGAAATACAAGCGTCACGGTGCTGTCCTGTACATGCACTCAGAAAGAAGAWGTGTGGATTTAAAACATTTGCTTCATTTTTATTGACTTCAGAACAAAAGATGCAACATTTTAAGTCGACTGATCTTTTAAGATTTATTTTTTTAATGAAAAGGCCGAAACAACAATTAACAGTTAAAATTAAAACATTTTTAGCACAGTTTAACATTGGCTGACCCACCATGCTTTCATTTTCTTTGTCTTTACAATAAACAGAATAAAAGTATTGGAATGTTGAGTCAGTTTATGCTCAGTGCATTTTATTATATGTTAAAAAAAACATTTTAAACATCTCATTTCAATTAAGCTTGTATATAATTTCGGAATTGGCAAGTGTCAGGTAAGCATTTTAACCTCACCTAAAAATGGTAAAACTTAAAAATCCCACTTATGATTCAGGAATTCTTCACATTCTGATGTCACACTTTAGTTTTAAAATGTTTTTGAGATGCACACTTTCAAATCCTACTTGACTGATGCAATTTTAGATTTCGTTAAAAGGAACGGTTCAATCTTTTAAAGTCAGGTTCTGTGGAAAGTTTATGAACAAATACTATCTTACCTGTTATAGACAGCACTCGTACAGATGGTCCACAAATTACACAGATTTCCCCCCATTTTGCATGTAAACAGCCAAATTGAGAAAATCTCATGGATATTTATTTTGCTTGTTAGAGYTGGCAACGTGAAGCTGAATTTGCCCTTTCCCCGCTGTAAACTGTACCTGCTTTGCTGCAGACCCCACCAACCCCCAAGCTCCGCCCCCTTAGTATTGTGTGAGAGTACTATGGATATTTAGTGAACTTTACGGACATCTGAAGGTCAGTATACAGGTAAACGCTCAAACGGGGTTGACATGTATGCTTATGGTTATTGGCAAGCACAAATAGTGGCAGCAGCAGCTAGCTGTAGCACGTACAGTGCAACCTGGGTAGAATAYTTCAGCTGCAACAGCTGTGTAATGCTGTAGAGCTGTTAATTGTTCATAATCTTTGTAAAAGATTCAACCTGTTCTTTTAAAGGTTTTTTATTTACTCTCATTCTGAGATTTAATCAGACTCTGYCCAAATTTTAATATGTTTATTGGTAAAAACATCAGTGTTTCGTACAGAATGAACCAGTTTCATAACTGCTTCAGTCCGGTTTTAGAGCTGCACKAGTGCTGGAAGATAGGGATTGAGAGGAGATCAGCGACACTGGAAGAGGTAGATGTGAAATTCATTAAACTGTGTCACAACAGAGGGGCTGTGAGGTGAACTGAGGGCTGGCTCGACATGAGAACTCTGTTCCAGTAAAACTATATTCAGACAGGAGGATGGATGTTTAGGTTTTTAAATAAAAACTACTAAAATACAAATAGGAATAGTAATAGCTGTCTTGGACAGAGTTTAGTATTACACATGGGCTGTCTGAACCAGGAAACATCACATTTAAGAGATAAAACATGACGTTTGAAGAGGGAAGCCATTTGAAGGTTTTTGTGTTATTTAATATTTTATTTTCATGCTGTTTAGAACTGTRCATCTAATGGTTTTAGTTTCTTTACTGGGGGTTGGATAAAGAAGTGGTTTGGGGGGTCGTCCTGTWACCGGACCGTCTCTTTCTGTCTCAGTTGTTGTGTCCTTAGACGAGACACTGGTGGTGGTCAGAGAGCTCATGGCAACAGTRCATGGCAGTCTCACTTCTGTCAGTGTGCCCCAGGGYAGCTGTGGCTACAYTGTAGCTTACCATCATCAGTGTGTGACTGAATGGGTCAATGGTTGAAGTGTAAAGTGCTTTAGAGTACATAGGGACTACATAAGTATATGAGTTCAGGCCTTTTACTATTTTGAATTTACCATTTGGGCAAAATATTAACATTGATGAATCTGCTGTTGCTTTTCTGTTTCCAAGTTTTTGACATTGATTTTTGCTGTTTTTCTAGATTTGAAAGTTAAAACCCACTCTGCTGTGTAATTACATCTAACTACAAGTCCACGACAAACAGAAACGAATAACTCCTGTCCGTCTGAATCGGTGTGGAGACATGACATGAAGTCTGGTTGTAGAGGACAATTTTTTTTTATTTTTTTTCACTTGGAAGTTGTCAGAGCTCTGCTCAGAAGTGACAGATGAAATGTTTGGGGTCATTACAACTGTCAACACAGAAGGGTTTTTGAAGATGTAACCAACCATCACAAGAAAGCCAGACAGAAACATCAAAGAGGAGAAGCCAATCATTCCGCCTCAGTGTTTTTCTCCCGCCTGCCAGTCTGTCATGCCAAGATCTTTGAGCGTCGCTCACTCATCCCCCGTCAAAGAGTTATGTGTGTATGACGACTCTATTTTTATCTGCAATCAAAAACATTTCATCCTGGTGGGTTTGATTGTTGATTTTTACAGCTCACCGTTGACTTATGTGGTCCTCCGCTGTGGCAGGATGAAGGTCTGGGGCCGATTTTGTGCAGCAGCCTCGTGTGTTGAGGCAACTGCAAAAAGGTACTTTCACCTCAAAACTACTGAAAGCAGCTTCCTGTGACTGAAAAATGTAGTAAGAAATAAGTGATGATAAAAAACGGGATGCTTATTGGAGGTTGATTGTGTATTTATTTACAGGACAGACAAATCAAACTGCTTTTACTATAGTGTGTTAATGTAAGGACAGAAAAGGCAAGGTGATAGAAAAAGTAGGTAGATGTTGAAATAGGTGGGGCTTATTTTTGTTTATCCAAGTATTATTTTTCCCTCTGAAAGCCTGGAAGACGGTGGTCCTGGGGTAGGAAAAAAAAGACACACAGGAGTTGTTTTCAAAGCTCCTGAGCTTGATGCTCCGTCTGATCCTTGGTTGTTTGAAAAGCTAATATAAACTGGAAGACAGCTGCTGGGAAATGGTCTTTTCAAACCTGATGAGAGTTTATCATCTCAACACAGGGAGAGGCCCTGCTCGAGGTGGATACACGCTGCCTGTAATCTCACCGCGGTGCTTTATCAGGAAGCTCTCGCAACTAAAAAATGAAACAAATAGTCCAGCATAAACAAGGCACCACAGAACTGGAGCTCTTTACTGGGCTGAGC